AGGTAACAATTGCCCGACGGAACCAGCTCGTACAATTTTGAGTAAACGGACCGGTAGGATACCATCCCTGATAACGCGAGTCACAGTCCTGATTATCCAACACAACCGAGATTAGTGATCTACTTTATTATTCTATATATATATATGTGTGTGTATGTATGTATATATGTGTGTGTAATACAAAAACAAAATATTTAAGATAATAATTATATATTTATTATCTAGGCACTGGAAACTTTGAAATAATAGAAGGAGGTAATGCTGTTGTTACTGGTACAGCGCGCATTACGCCAGATCCTGCTAAAGAGAAAATACCGAGTCATTTCTTACGCGAAAACTGCGAGAACGAGGAAGAAGTGATGACGACAAAAGACATTTATAAAGAACTTAAATTACGTGGATATCAATATGCTAATTTATTTCGGGGATTAAAAACTTCATCCACCACGGGAAAACAAGGACACATAGCTTGGACGAATAATTGGGTAACGTTTCTGGATAATTTGTTGCAAATAAAAATCTTGGGGGTAGATATGAGGAATCTTTATGTTCCTACGGAGATACAAAAACTGATCATCGATACGAAACTTCATGCTCAGTGTATAAAAAATATAACATCTGAAGAAAAATGTAAGTTTTCCAAAAGTCATATATAGATGTTGTTTAGAAAAACTTTTCCTTTTTTTTCTGGAGATTGTTTTATATATTCAATATTTAAATTATCTCTGTAGCCTTTAAATTAAAAAAATATAGTAAAGTAAAAAAAATGCAGATATTACTTTCTTTTCAATAATGATAAATATATTTAAAAAATTAATTTTAAAACAATATTAATACAATATTATTGACTACATAAATAAAAATTCCCAGCTTAAACAAAATTTTTTTTTTGAAGTTGTGGGAATATTTGCAGAGTTCCTCCAAATTTTAGGTGGTTGCATGGTGTGCATGAAAACGTTCGTAGATCATATTCGAAATACAAAATACAAACTTTTTTTTATTAAACATATTAATAGCTTTCTGCTATCCAAGCGTTCTGGAGATTGTTTTATATATTCAATATTTAAATTATCTCTGTAGCCTTTAAATTAAAAAAATATAGTAAAGTAAAAAAAATGCAGATATTACTTTCTTTTCAATAATGATAAATATATTTAAAAAATTAATTTTAAATTGTAGAATGTGTTATTGTTAGATTCGCGGCGATTTGAATTCATTTTGCTGGATTGAAGGCCCGATTGTTCCGGATTATCAGCACAAAGATCTTGTTCGCATAGTTTATGCGTCTATCAATTTCAAAGATGTAATGTTAGCGACGGGCAAAATCATCATGGATGAATACATGTCACGCGGACGATTAGAAGAATGTCTGATAGGTTTGGAATATGTCGGTATCGATAGTGCTGGTCGCAAAGTAATGGGAATTTGGGAAAATAGGTACTTACTGTACACTCGTTGTTTACAAGTATTTCTAGCTAAAAACTGTACTAACAAATATACAATTTAAAATTTAAATCATTTATTATAAATAATTAATATTTTAAATAAAAGATTCTTTATTTCATATTTTAGATAACAATTTTTTGTCAGTGCATTCACATATTTACATTTTTACTTGGAAAGCAGAAAGACTTATTTAAAAATCTTTGTTTTGTTTTTAAAAGATATAAAATAAAATTATATATTTTATTTTACTTTTATATTATATTTTACAAAATACATAATAAACTTTTTTTTTTCAGATGTATATCAAATATGCGCATAGCCGATAGACCTTTATGCTGGTATATTCCTGACGAATGGACTCTGGAGGACGCTGCGACAGTCCCGTGCGCTTATGGCACATGCTGTTACGGACTATATATAAAGACAATGATAAAGAAAAGCGACAAGATATTAATTCATTCGGGTACTGGCGCCATAGGTCAAGCCGCTATTCATCTTGCGCTTCACGAAGGCTGCGAAGTATTCACCACCGTCGGCACCCCGGAAAAGCGAAAGTTTATAAGAAAGACTTTTCCATCTATTCCAGAGGATCATATCGGAAATTCGCGCGACACTAGTTTCGAGCAAATGATATTCTTAAAGACTAACGGTCGCGGCGTAGATATCGTACTGAACTCATTAGCTGAAGAGAAACTTCAGGCTTCTATTCGTTGTCTTGCGAGAGGAGGGCGTTTCTTGGAAATTGGAAAATTTGATTTTATGGCTAAATATTTAAGATAATAATTATATATTTATTATCTAGGCACTGGAAACTTTGAAATAATAGAAGGAGGTAATGCTGTTGTTACTGGTACAGCGCGCATTACGCCAGATCCTGCTAAAGAGAAAATACCGAGTCATTTCTTACGCGAAAACTGCGAGAACGAGGAA